CCGTGGACGACCTAATTATATTTGCCCGCATCGCTCAGACCGCAGGAATATCGCTTTACCTGGACAATCGCCAGTTCTACGGCTACTTCGCGATGCCGGTTGACGAATCAGACGTGGAGGCGATGCAGGCGACGGGAAATGACGCGGAGTTGATCGAGGTATCGGCCATTGATGCCACATCCTCAGAGGCGCATTGGCTGGCGCGAGACGTCGAGCTGTTCACGCACCTGCGCCTGCAGGCGATGCTCGATCAGGAGGATAGATGGCGTGTGATCGCAGCGCCCAGCCTAAACGCTACTGCTGAGAGCCATCTGCCGGTGATGAGCAAGCTCGGCTTCGATGAGGTGTACATGATTAACTTGATCCGTCGACCCGACCGCAGGTCTCAAATGGACTATGCCCTGAGTCAGGTCGGAGTGAAGGCCCGTCATGTGCCCGCGGTGGATGGTCTCGAGCTGAACCATGCCCGAGTGGAGGCCTTGGGGATTCGCCAACTGCCCGGTTACGCGGATCCATATCACAAGAGACCGCTGAAGTTTGGCGAGATTGGCTGCTTTTTGAGTCACTACTCACTATGGCAAGTGAGTCTATTGTTTGCCCTTTCAGAGGCATCACCCAGTGTTAGGTTGCTGTTTTAGAGGTTCAGTAATTCTTGAATGAAAATTCAGTCTCCTTAGGTCACTTAAGGTTTTTTAAATACTGCTAGTCGAATTCTTTACCACAATCTCCTCAAGCTACTCACAGCGAAAATGAGTAACGTTGTCTATTGTAATGGCAAATGGTGCTTGCTCCATTTAAAATCTCACTACATTTTGACTTTGGCGAGATATAGCTCTCATTGAAACTCAAATCTGCCTTATTACTAAAGGACACTCGTGGTTGTGCAGCGGAGTGATAGCAGGTCGCCATGATTAATATGACCCAGTCTGTGTGAGAGTGCCTTTAAGGAGAGGAGGCAACTCAACTGAGTTTTAGGGCCATCAGCAATGGGGAGTGCTGTTAACGCAGTTGGCACAAGTGAAAGGAGCTGGAAATTAAAAATTAAAAAAAATATGTTGTTTGTTCTATCCAGGTGCACATGCATGAACTCATCTGATCTGAACTATTTTGAATTATAATCATAAAATGGAGCAAAACAGTTGTGTACTATGCACCGCAATTAACCATAAAGTATTCCTTTCAGAACCTGACCGCGGTTCAGAGCTTAGGTTCTATGAGTAATAACTTGGGTTGCTGCTGGCAAAGAACCACACCCTCACCTTTGTATTTCTACAGCCTCACTCTAGCTATATCCCTCCTAAGCAGTATTCACATCCACCTCTTTCCTTTGATATGAGTGTTTGACGTTTGCCAAAATTTACTCTGGTATCTCAGCGATATTTATATAAACGTTTTATTACTAGTATGGCCTGTTTAAGAAACATGCCAACGACATTAAAAATTTAGGTATATTCAGGTCGCCAAAATCATAGTTCGGAGCTCACTTACGGCTATTATCAATTATTAATTCCGTGGCACTTAACATTTATAGTATTATATATATTGCCCAAAGAATAGCTGAGGCCCGGCAGCAGATAGGCCAATTGTTTTGAACTAGCCGATTCCTTGCGTGACATCACATTTATGAAAACGCGTATGTAGTTGAAACTACTGTATAGTCCAGCAGGGAGCCGCTTTCCTAAGCTGGTACCAAAGCCGAATAACTTCCTTCCCTGGACGTTTTTAGATTAACTGAAAAGGACCAATTTCGCCCAAAAAGATAGAAGGTCGCCCTTGCCGACCATCTTGAATTGAAGGTGTCTCGATTTCAAAAAAATTTTGTTGAATCTTTTTTAAACATCAATAGAAGCAGCTTTAACAGAACATGATTCTTATGCGTCCCGGCATGTCCGAAGTTAAGTGAAGGAAATAGTCTATTTCGGGAGCTGATCTTCACTCCTCGTGCAAGTGCACGATGAAGA